GCAGGCAGAGAGAGAGAGAGAGAGGGACGCAGGCTCCCCGCCGAGCAGAGAGCCCGATGCGGGACTCGATCCCAGGAACCTGAGATCATGACCCGAGCCGAAGGCAGCGGCTCAACCCACTGAGCCACCCAGGCGCCCCCAGTCTCGGCCTTTTTGACGGGCAGCAAAGGTGTGTTCCATGGAGACTTGCAAGGAACTAGGATCCCGTCTCCTCGGAGGCGGTTCATGTGTTTTCTGATCCCTTCCTTTGCTTCCCAGGGGAGGGAGTACTGCCGGACGCGAAGAGCCGTGGCGTTGCTTTTAATTGTACCACCACTGGAGGCTGTCCCTTGGCCAAGCCAGGGGGCTTCCCTTCCGCCCAGACTTCGGGAAACTCGACCTGCAGGGTTTGGACAAGGCTCCCTTCTCTTGTCTCCTCTGGTTCTGAGACTGGCTCGTAAAGGAGGTGTTCGTCTACTGCTGCCACAAGCATCTGCACAGCGGGTTGTCTCAAGGTCACAGTCACGTCTCCTTCGGAGAACTGAATGCCAGCTTGTAAGTTGTGGAGGAGATCTCTTCCAATCAGGTTATACAGGGCATTAGGGAGGACCAAGAATCGATGCTTGACTACTCCCAAGGCCAAATTTAAAGTCATTTCTGTTGTCCATTTATGTCTCTCTGTGCCATTTGCCCCTTGGACCCAGACTTCCTCTCCAGACAGTTTTCCCATAGGTTTAAGTAATGATGAAAATCGGGCTCCCGTGTCCACCAAAAAATCAATTGATTTTCCCTCCACTTTAATTTTTACCTGAGGTTCGGGAAGGGGCTCCAAACCACGGCCCCTTCAGCCTCTGGTGGCCAGCACTGCCGTCTTCCTTTTGGGGCACTCCCTGGCGCAGTGTCCTTTTCCCTTACAGTAAGCGCACTGACCTGAACCTAAGTCCTCCCGCCTGCCTTCTCTGTGCTTAGGATTTTGCACCCACTGACCATCCCCTCCCTGCCTTCTCCCTTTCCATTGACCTCTTTCCCCCCGTCTCCTCCCGCCTCATGGAATGCCAAAACCTTAACCAGTTTTTTGGTCTGTTGTTCATCCTCTTGCGCATCCCTGTTGTGAAACACCTTTTCCGCTATTCCCACTAACTCAGTCAGATTCTTCCCTTCAAACCCTTCACTTCTCTGAAGTTTCCTCCTTATATCTGGGGCTGACTGACTGGCAAAAGCAAGATTCACTGCCCTCTGATTTTCGGTGCCTCAGGGTCGATCGGGCTATCCATTTTATAGGCTTCAATTGGCCTTTCTAGGAAAGCTCCCGGGGACTCATTCTTACCTTGAGTCACCACACTAATTTTTTTTAGATAGACTTATGGGTCTCCTTGCAGCTGCACGGAGGCCTCCCAGTAGAGCCTGGCGGTAGAAGCGTAGGCTCTCCTTACCTTCATCGGAGTTTGGATCCCAGTCGGGGCGTTCCCTCGGGCAGTAGTCCTCCATTCGCCGGGGATCGAGGTCCCTGCCAAGTCTCTCACTTATCACGTTATGGGTTTCTCGCATGATGCCATACCTCTCTTCCGCGTTAGAGAGAGCCATAGGGAGCTGTTGAATATCCACCCAGGTGGGCTGGTGGGTAAGAAAGACAGTCTCCAGGAGACCAATTAAACCCTGAGGGTGGACAGAAAAGGATTTGTGTTGGGCCTTCCAGATATAGATGTCAGAAGAGGAGAAAGGGATATAGGTTAGGTGGGGGCGCCCTCTCCCGTCTAGTAGAGCAACCTCACGGAGAGGCAGCATCGGCACAGATGGAACTGGTGAGGTAGAGGGAGGCAGAGGGGGACAGAGGAAAGGGGAAGGATCAGGGCTGTCTTTCTGTTTGGTGGTCCCATAGGTGGACCCCGACCGCGTATGAGGTGGACTAGTAAGGGCGTCTTGAGACCAAGAGTCAGGTTTAGGGGACAGATAAGGGGGGGGGAATTCCACATCCTCCACATCTGACCGGGGTAGGACGGTCTTCTTCCCTGGCTCCCCCTCACCTCTCTGTTCTGATTTTGGTGATCTAACCTCCCTTAGAGGGAGAGAGATGGATTCGTTAGCAGGGGGGAGGTGAGACTTGAGCCATGACGGTGGCTCTTCTATCAGATATCGCCAGGCCACGATGTACGGTATTTGGTCTCGATGGAGATCGAAGACCTTACTCTGGGTAGAGTAGATCTGAGCCAAGGCAAACGTTCCTTCCGGCAGGCCACCCTGTGGAGAAAATGGGCCACTCTAATTGGCAGAGTGTTTTTAGTTTTCCTGGGTAAACCTTGTCACCCGACTCGGTGACTTTACCTTGAAAATCCTTGCAATGCTAAAGAATAAGACTTAGGGGTGTCACAGGTCCCAGCTTTCCCCACATTTCCAAACACAATCAACAAACACAACAGACAACAAAAAGACAAGACAAAGACTACCGCAGGCCCAGCCATCCTCATCCAGAGCCTGCTGCTGGTGGGGTCTTTCTTGGTCCCCTGCAAACACAACAAACAACACAACAGACAACAAAAGGACAAAACAAAGACAACCGCAGGCCCCGTGGTCCTTACCCAGAACCTGCCACCAATGGGGACTTTCTTGATCTCCTGACCGCCCAGGGGGACTCGAACCCCCTGATGATCTACCAGTGGAGGGATGGGGCATCCCCGCATCCACTCCACCCCTGGGGAGCATGGATGCATCCAGCTTCTCCCCGCTGGGCTATACCCTGGAGCTCCGCACCAGACAGACAGACAGGATCCGGAGATCTTACCTCCGGGGGATTTTCCCAGGAATTCTGATGCTGGCTCAGTTTTCGTCGTTTGATTGCGGACGTGCCCCCAATGATAGGCCCCCCAATAATGGGTCCGTGATCAAAGGAGCGAGACTGATACAAAGCGAAGGTCAAGCAAAGCTTTATTTCGTGCCAAGCATCGAGAATCAAACCGACTGGTCGGGGCCGCCTCTTACAAAGAGGAGACCCCTCCCAGCCTCACAGACTAACTTTTATAGAGCAAAGGCCATGTGGTTGAGCCTGGCCACACACAGGTGGCCAATGAGATTGCAACACACAGAGAAAACTGCACAGTCATGCTAGGTCACACACGGGCGGCCAATTGAATTTCAATTTACCCTAGTAGATATTTGAACTGGTCTATCTCCTTGGTCAGCATTGGCGCCCAAAAGGTGGGACCCATGCTCCTTGGTAGCTAGGGAGACAGTATGTGGGCCCCACTGATTGGATGTCTCCACCTGGCCTGACCCACCCTTGTATCTGGGCTTTGCTGGGACTGGCTTCCCGGACTTGCTTTTAAGTAAGCTCTTCTGGGAGGGGCAGGGTCCATCTAAGTTTACTGCTATCTGGTAGGGGCAGGGTCAACGTAAGTTTACTGCATAAACAACAACATGGCTCCCTCTGGCTAAGCAGGCCCTTACACACAGAAAATTTTAGAAATAAGTATCATCCAACAACTACTATACTTAAACAATGTACGATTGTGTCCCATGCCTTCTAGAAATAATCTGCTCAATTTGCTGCCATGGAGAGACTATAGTTTGTAAATTGTAGGCGAGAGTAAAAATAAAAATATATATTAGATCTTACATATTTTAAACTCAGAGGCATACGTGTAAGTTACAACCTGAGGGAGAAAAAATGGGGCAAACCCCACAAAATCACACGGAAAACTAAGGCAAGCACACAAATGACCAACTGCCCCACCTGGAACCGGCGCGGGTTCCACCGGGAACTCTCCACTCCGGGAAACACACGTGGGGCCAGACAGCCCTAGGGAGCCCAGGAGGGCGGGGACCCCGTGCAGGGCGGGAGGGGCTCGGGCGCCGTGGGCCAGGGACCTGCGTGGGACTCGGGTGCAGGGTACAACCCTGAACACCGGGGGCGGGAAGAGCCGGTTCTGGTCCGCCCTACCTGCCCCCACGGGCTCACGACTCGCACACGCGGCCCCGCCGCACCCCAGACCCCACTCGGGGTCCCGACTGCGGAAGCCCTCAGCGAAGCTCGCCGGAGGCCGGGATCTCCCTGCAGCTCCGCGCACTCGCTGAGCCCGCCTCACCCAGCACCCCCTGGGCGCGCTCCGCTCTCTGCGACCCGGACGCGGGTTTGCGGGGGCCGATCCGCCGCCAACCCCGGGAAGGAGCCCCCACGCGACCGCTGCGACCTCCCCGCCCAGCGGCCGGGGGCGACGGGGAGCCGCCGTTACTAGGCGGGGTGCGGTCTCCCAGCAACGCGCAGGCGGGGACTTGGCCAACAAGGGCGGGGGCGGGGGGCCGCAGGGAAACATACGCCCCGGGCTGTTACCGAGCAAACTCCGGTGTCTAAGTGACCGACCAGCTCGGGATGGGTCCCAGGAGGCGCTAGCTGAGCGGTTATGAGGGGTAAAAAGCGTTTTCCATAAACCAGATTTAAAATTTGTTTTGCTGGTGCGCCTGGGTGGCTCAGTCGGTTAAGCGCCAACCTTCGGCTCGGGCACGGTCCTGGGGTCCTGGGATCCAGCAGGGTCCCTGATCAGCCCATCTGCTGGAATGACTGTGGTGTCTGTCTTTAAGCCTGGAGCTAGAAGCCTCGGAGAGGAGGAAAGGCTTGTCTGAAAACCACAGAGCCACAGGGAGCCTACCTAGGGGAAGGTGGGGCGGCCTGGGCTGGTGGCCTGAGGGACCTAACACAGAGGGAGGGCCGGTGTGCAGGCGACCAGGGAGCCCCAGCCATTCCCTGAAGGACCCCCCTGATTGCCTCCTGATTTCTGGCCCCAACCCTCCCCTCCAGGAAAAACAACTGTCCTACTTACATGCTGGCCCTGAGGGGCTCAGGGCTGGGACAGGCCAAGACTCTCTCTCAGCCAGATGCCAAGTGGGAGAGGCCACCGGCAGGCAAGGCTGGTCAGGCTGCCACTCACACACTGTAGGGCTCCACTATGGCGCATCTGAGAACACCCAACAGGGCGGGAAACATGAGAAATAGAAGATTCTAACACAAACAGCATTTTGTACAACATGTCCACGGCAGAGAGAAAGCAATTTAATTAGGAACAAAGTGACTTTGGCTCTTACTCTGGAAGTAAGTGCAAAGCATGTCTGATACAGCAGTAACCTGCCACCGTGCACACTGTATCAGCAGGACAGGGTGTGTGTGCCTGTCTGCCCACGTGCACACACACCTGCATCCCAGGCTGACCAGGGAGTCATGCTCACTCGAGCACCCTGGGATGGTGCTCCCCTCATGGGCGGATAGTGTGTCTCCGGAAAGCCACTCTGCTTCTCTGGAACGTTTGGATCGGAGGGCATTTTTCTCCCTCAGGAGGTCATAGCCTTCTACTTCACAGATGTTCCCATCTACCTCTGTAACTTGACCTAAGATGAAGAAGAACAAGGAGAAGGCATCAGTGATGATTAAATCCCCGTGGACAATCCCTCTGGAACAAAACTGGTAAAATCAGCTTGGATATAATAATATTACCTTCAATTTTAATAATCACATTTAATAGCACCAGTTAATACAATTGTTAAGTTTTAAATTTTAGTGTCTATTTTAATATATAACTTATCATATATAAAATATATAAAATCTATTATAAATATAAATTTTTAAAAATATTTTCTTTATTTGACAGACAGAGAGAGAGAGAGAGAGTACAAGCAGGCAGAGTGGCAGGCAGAGGGAGAGAGAGAGAAGCAGGCTTCCCGGAGAGCAAGGAGCCCGATGCTGGACTTGATCCCAGGACCCTGGGATCATGACCCAAGCAGAAGGTTGCCGCTTAACCAACTGAACCACCCAGGCGTCCCTATTATAAATATAAACTTTAAGGTGATTTTAATATAAATATGATTACATCCCAAGCCGATTTTAGAATAATCCTGCTATAGCTCAAATTGCAGAACTGGGAAAATGGAATAAAAACATGAATGTAAATCATACACTTAGGGTGTGATGCAAACCTCTGAATTTCATCAACATTCAAGAAAGGCTTTTGGCATTTTCAAGATACATTATTTACAAATTAAACTTAAGGTTGGCCTATTTAAAAGCAAGATAATACCTTGTGCACTGCAAGATTTCTTGTACATTAAATAGAGATTTCTTTTACAAACAATAAGGTACCTCGACTTCTTTTTTATTTTTATTTTTTATTTTTTATTTTTTTTTAAGATTTTATTTATTTATTTGACAGAGAGAGATCACAAGCAGGCAGAGAGAGAGGAGGAAGCAGGTTCCCTGCTGAGCAGAGAGCCCGATGCGGGGCTCGATCCCAGGACTCTGAGATCATGACCTGAGCCGAAGGCAGCGGCTTAACCCACTGAGCCACCCAGGCGCCCCGACTTCTTTTTTATTTTAAGAATTGTTTTTAAGGTTTTATTTATTCATTTAACAGAGAGGGAGAGTACAAGCAGGGAGAGCAGCAGGCAGAGTGGGAGGGAGAAGCGGGCTCTCTGCTGAGTCAGGAGCCAGATGTGGGACTCGATCCCAGGACCCTGGGATCACCACCTGAGCCGAAAACAGCTGCTTAACAAACTGAGCCACCCAGGCGTCCCAGGTACCTTGACTTCTAAAGTCTCATCTGTATAAAATGTCTGAATCAAATTATCAAAAATCCTAATTCCCCTAGCAAAAGTCTCTGCATGTAACCCTATAGAACTACACGGTTGTTGTTTATTTTTTTTTAATAGAGTTTCTTCTAATTATTTGCAAGTTACTCTAGGAAAACATTAAAAGACTGACAAAGAGAACAGTATTACATGATGTCTTTGCATATTAACCTAAAATACAGGTTCTTAGCTCTATTACATTTGACCTATCTACAACTAATCTGTATAGAAATCCCACTGAAAAATAACAGGAGGAGATGCTCTGTGGGTCTTTTCTTTTTTACGAACCTTATTTCCCACACATTCAGATGAAGAGCAGTGCTGTTCAGAGCTTCTCTGTTGCTCACTCTGTCGCACGCTCATGTGTCTTCTTGCCTTCGCGCGTCTAACATGAACAGCAGTTCTGTGTATAAACTGGGCACTCAGAGGAGGCAGGAGATTTTACTGAAAAATTCCAGCTTCTATTATTGAAGAGAGAGCACGGTTAAGAGTTCTCAAACTCATTTACATGTGCCTAAAAGTATCTGGCAATATAACTTATACTACTTGTTAAATAAGAAATACATCATTTGGCCCAGAGTATCTTCTACGGTCATGGTACAAACGATACCCAATGTGCAGCACTGTTCACAGACGCCGTGGCATAAACATGACATACACCATGCTCACAGATTATTTTTACACGTGCTATGAGAATATATAAATGTATAACATGTAGCCATACTCAGGAACGTAAGTTCTATATCCCTCTGAAGCAACAGGCTTTTTACTTGACTGTCATCATTGCCAACATACATATACACACAGATACATATCTTTAAAGTTTCATATGCTTATTATTTAAAATTGAATAATCTTTTCCTTAAGAGATCCAATATCAGAGTTGGAAATTGATTATTTTAAACGTTTCTATGGACAAATTTTTCTATCTTCTTTTAAATCATTTTTTGTCCTCAATATGAGTAACTTGATTTACAATGAGACTAGACTATTTGCTGAGCACTTTTCTTACCAGTCTTTGCTGCGTTCACTGCACACACAGGTTCAATCTCCTGTTTGGGCTTTGTGATGTTTAAGGAAGTAGAACTTTGGGCGCCTGGGCGGGGGGGGTTCAGTCAGTGAAGCGTCTGACTTTGGCTCAGGTCATGATCCCAGAGTCCTGGGATCCAGTCCTGCATTGGGCTCCCTGCTCCACGTGGAGCCTGCTTCTCCCTCTGCCCCTCCCCGCTGCTTGTGCTCTCTCTCATGCCAGGAAATGGATAAAATCTTAAAAAAGGGGGGGGGGAGTAGAATTTCCTGCCAATAATTTTCCTATACTCACAGCCTTCAGAGAATTTCTATAATTGCATTCTAGGATATAGAGAGGAGTACGATTATTTCCTTAAAAGTTTCTCATGGCCACTCTCTTTCTTTCTTTTTTTTTTTTTTTTTTTAAAGATTTTTATTTGTTAGATTGAGAGAGACAGAGAGAGAGAGCGAGCGTGCAAGCAAGCACGAGCAGGGGGAGCAGCAGGCAGAGGGAGAAGCAGGCTCCCCACTGGGCAAGGAGCCCAATGCAGGACTCCCTCTCAGGGCTCCGGGATCATGACCCGAGCCCAAGGCAGACGCTTAACCGAATGAGCCCCCCCAGGCGCCCCACGTCCACTGTTCCTAGGGTTTCTGTCCTGTGTGAGTTCTCTGATGTATGAGGAGGTGTGACTTCTGGGAGAAGGCTTTCCCACAATCGTCGCATCCATAGGGCTTCCCTCCTGTGTGAGTTCGCTGATGTATGAGGAGCTGTGACTTCCAAATAAATGCTTTCCCGCACTCGCTGCATCCGTAGGGCTTTTCTCCTGAATGAGTCTTCTGATGTCGAAGCAGCAGTGACTTCCCACTGAAGGCTCTCCCGCACTCACTGCACCCGTAGGGCTTCTCTCCTGAATGGATTCTCTGATGCTTACTGAGACCTGACTTCTCTCTGAAGGCTTTCCCACACTCACTGCATTTGTTGGGCTTTTCGTCTATATGGGTTCTCTTGTGAGTGATAAGTTGTGATTTCCCACTAAAGGCTTTCCCACATTCACTACAGGCATAGGGTTTCTCTCCCGTGTGACTTCGCTGATGAATGATGAGCTGTGAGGTCTGAGAGAACACTTTGCTACACTCGCTGCATCCATACGGTTTCTCTCCCGTGTGAGTTCTCTGGTGTGTGATGAGGTGTGACTTTCTAGCGAAGGCCTTCCCACACTCACATCCATAACGTTTTTCTCCTGTGTGAACTGTCTGGTGTGTAACGAGGTGTGACTTCTGGGAAAAGGCTTTGCCACAGTCACAGCATTTGAATGGTTTCTCTCCTGTGTGTGTTCTCTGATGGACGATGAGCCGTGACTTCTTGCTGATGACTTTTCCACATTCCTTACATTCATAGTGTTTTACTCCACAGGAGTTTTTTCATGTGCAGTATAGAGAAAGGATTTCTTATATCCACTGACCTTACCAGCTTTCTTTCTTCCACTGTTTCCAGTCTGAGTAAATAAATCTAGTGAATATTTCAAATGTTTTCCAGCTGAGACACGCTTATTGGATTTTTGCTTTAAACAGGCAAGGTTCATGCCAGACTGAAATATTTTTCCACCTGGATTCATTTCACGAACTTGTTCCAATTTTTTAATCCTGTCTTGAATTTCTTGGTGCCATGCTTTGTAATCATCAACTTTCCAGTATTCTAGAAAAGAGAACAATTAAACACATTTAGTGAATTCTTTAATAACTGTGAACCAGATGAACCAGAACCACAGAAATAATCATGCACACCGGTACATGTTTGGGAATTAAAATTAAATAAAGTGCTTTCATGGAAACTGAGGTAGAAAACCGACAATAGACAAGGAGAAGGAAAAAAATGGACTAAACAGGTTGTTAGGAGCCATGATAGAATAATCTGTTCCAGGCGAAGGGTTTCATCTGCACACACACTCAACCCTAAGACAAGGCAATAAAAAGTTGCACTAGAAGGAAGGGAATGAGGACACTGAAGTTATTTCTTTGGTTACAGGCCTAGAAGAAATGAAGGAGAGACTAGAGGAAATGACTGTGGGAGTACAACAGTAATCTGAGGCATTTACAAGGAAAGGGGAAAGAAAATATGTGGGAATTAGAACAGTGAGGGGAAAAAATCACAATGAATCCTGTGTCCAAGAGAAAAGAAAAGGGATCTATCAGCAGGATAAGGTCTCTGGTGTGGAGAGGAAAATGAATGAACAAAGTCCAACATGAGAAAGAGGGATTGAGCTCCTTAGGACAGACCAGAGAGGCATAGCTCACTCTAAAATCAGAGCCAAGGAGGACAGATGACCTCTCCTCACATGATAAGCGATAGAAACGATATCTGCGTATCTGAGAAGCTCATCTCAATGGCTCTGGGTCACTTCCAAAGGGTTGGTGATCTCGAGAACTCTCTAAACAATATTGCACAGGTGCCCACCCCTCACCGTCTTCACTGTTCACTTCCAGCTGGAATTTAACTCCACCACCTCCCAGGGGCCTTGCCTGCAAAGCTCGGACTCGGGATGTACCCGTGGCTGCTCCTGCTCCGGCCTGAAGGTCACATCTGGTCTGATGAGCTGAAACCCTGTGTATGAAAAAATCACACAGGACTTGGGCCCAATTTCCTGGGCTCCGGCTTCTGAAGTATAAGTAAATGCTTAGCTCCAGAGGCTGTGAGAGATGTTCACTTGGGATGTGCGTGGACAGACACTCTGGAGACTAAAAAGGGCTAAGAATTTTTGAATTCTTAGACTAAAGCCCTATGTCATGACATACTTCAAAGGTCCCATTTTTCAGTCAACAAACAGGGAAAGCCAGCTGACGGGGCCGAGTCCACACCGGATGTGTCCTTACCTAGGGACACAAGGCTGCTCCAGTTCTCCAGCATCACACTTCGGTACAGAGCCTTCTGCGTGGAGTCCAGCAGCCGCCACTCCTCCCACGTGAAGTCCATAGCCACGTCCTCGAACGACGGCGGGCCCTGGAAGAGCACGCTCCTAGTAAAGCTTAACCAGTGGGTTTCCGACGGTGAAACCATGATGCAAAGACCCCGGGGCAGGAGCCATTAGCAGCCTTCAGGATAGCTGCTCTCCTTCTGTCTGCGAACCTCAGCTGTACGAGGGGTGCAGACGCGCCCGCTCCCAGTCACAAATCGTAACCGTTCCCTTTGCCCTTCCACCTCTCTTACATCTCGAGTCAGTCCCGTGATAAGTGCTGGCAACGGCTTCAGGAAGTGTGCGAGGCCACCTGGGGGAAGCTGCTGCTTTTCTGGTAAGAGAGAGACACACTGATAATACCCTCTGCTCTCTACTATTCTTCCTGCTTTTATTTTTTACGATTTTTAAAAAAGAATTATTTATTTATTTTAGGGCAAGAGGGAGGAGGAGGAGGGGTGGGGGGAGAGGGAGGGAGTCTTAAGCAGATTCTGCGCTGAGCACGAATCCTGATGTGGGACCTGATCTGTGATGCTGAGATCATGACCTGAGTGGAAACTAAGAGCTGGCCACTTAACCAACTGCGCCACCCAGGCGTCCCTCTCCCTGCTCTTAAAGTAGACGTTGTACTTGGAGCTGCAGTAGCCACCTTGAGCTGTGAGGCAACATGTGTGACACAGAAAGCCAACTGGCAAAGTATGGCAGAGCAGAAGCCCAGAAAGACCCTGTAGTCTTTCATGGCACCCCTCAAGTGCCATGCCAGCCCAGGGCGGTCTGCTTCTATGTGTCCTAGCAGGAGAAACTTCAGAGGCCTTATTTTTTCTTTTTTTTTTTTTAAAGATTTTTATTTATTTATTTGACAGAGACAGAGACACAGTGAGAGAGGGAACACAAGCAGTGGGAGGCTTCCAGCTGAGCAGGGAGCCCGACCCGGGAGTCGATCTCAGGACCCTCGGATCATGACCCAAGCCGAAGGCCGACGCTTAACCGACAGCCACACAGGTGCCCCTTCAGTGGCCTTATTATTGGAGCTACTATTTATAAATGAAGTCATCCCCAAGTGATACATTTATTTGATCATTTTTTAAAAAGATTTTTATTTACTTGACAGACAGATCACAAGTAGGCAGAGAGGCAGGCAGAGAGAGAGGGGAAGCAGGCCCCCCACTGAGCAGGGAGCCCGATGCGGGGCTCAGTCCTGGCACCCTGAGATCATGACCTGAGCCGAAGGCAGAGGCTTAACCCACTGAGCAACCCAGGCGCCCCTAAACAAATCTTAAAAAAAAACCCAGTACTTAGAAAAAAGTCTATCAGTTCTTTAAAATGTTAAATATAGTTACCACTGGAACTAGCAGTTCGATTCCTAGGTATGTACCTAAGAATAGAGAACATACACACCAATGTTGGCAGTAGTAGTATCAATAGCAGCCAAAATAGCAAACAGCCATTTGGTCTAGCAAATGAGGAACTGATAAACAAAACGTGCTACAGTCACACAACAGAATATTATTCCACAACAAAAGACAATAAAGTATTAATTCATGGCCCATCTTAAAAGCAGGCTACATGAAAGAAGCCAGTCACAAAAGACCCCATAGCATGTGATCCTGTGGATATGAGATGGGCAGAATGGGCAAACCCAGGAGCTGGGGCCTGGAGCTGGGGCGGGGGCCCTGGGGATTACCTGCTACGGAGATGGGGTTTCCTTTTAGGAGGATGAAAATGTCCTTTTCATATTTTTTTGAGATTTTATTTAGTTATTTCACAGAAAGAGAGAGAGAGAGAGAAAGAGAGAGAGAAGGCACAAGCAGGGCTAACAGCAGGCAGAGGGGGAGGGAGAAGCAGACGCCCTGCTGAGCAGGGAGCCGGAAGTGGGACTAGATCCCAGGGCCCTAGATCGTGACCTGAGTTGAAGGCGGAGCCACTAGGCGCCCCTGGAGGATGAAAATATGCTAAATTTAGATTGTGGCTGAACAATTAGATGGTTGCAGAAGTCTCTAAACTTACTGAAAAACAACCACCATCAACAGTCAATTGTTCACTTAAAATGGGCGAATTGTATGGAACCACAATCGAGGAAATAAATGAATTACTCACCTGGGACTTGGTCATTTTCTGCTGCTCTCGGGAGAACTGTAGGCTCTGCGTATCTTCTGGATTCTTATCTTGATGCTCAAATTAAAGGTCTCGGATCAGGATTCTCTTCACCCAGAACCCTTGCTCCAGAGATTTCTTTATCTCAGACAAGCCAATTAGTCCACGGAAACCAGAATCTGTAGAGTCGGGTAACAAACTCTCTTTAGTTGACGCAAATACCCCTCTCTTGTTGGAAACTCACCTGCATTTAAAGCTCAGAGTGGGTTTTCTATAGGCTCTACACAGACCTCACAAGGACTCAATAGGGGGTATGCAGAAGGAACCCCACCCCCTTGTAGCAGCATTCCACCAAGCACTCGTTCTCTCTCGAAATGGGGAAGGGAAAGCGAGACCGCGCGTGTGTGTAATATAGAGCCCACAGAAAATAAGAACATCACGTTCACTTTTAAGTAAAGGCATAAAGAAAAGAGGAAACTGAATTCAGCAGCTGATGAAACGAGTAATTCAGCAGAGCTTCTCCTCAAAATACAAGTTGTTCGTTTGAAGCTCATGATGTTCTTGAGAATTCTACAGGAGTTAACACACGTAAATACCTCAGAACTATGACTGGCACATAAATATTGAGTAAATGTTCGTTTAGTTAGTTAGTTAGTGCTCTTATTATCACGTGACGTGATTACAGAGAAATCAGAAAATTCTTATCGATAACAATTATCAATAATGCCACTCCTTCAAAGGTACGTCTCTCATAGGTGGTGGAAACCATGCTGATATTACAAAGATGGGATCTGAAGTCTTACATTTTTAAACCCGCTTTCAGACCCACAATCCTAAGCACTGACCTGGTTATACCCTACAGGTTGTCCAGTCAGCTCTCAACCAATATCCGATATGCCGGCATCCCCAGTCTTCAATCACTGGCCCCCAGGGCCACGAAGTCATGAGCCTCGAAGACCTCCCAGCCAGCCCCGCAGCCCTTCATCACCTACACCACCAGTCACGCTCCCGCGAGCTCTGCAAGTGCCGGTGGCTCAGACACAGCTGGGCCATCACTAACTCCCACAACCGGGTCACTTACACCGTCAATTCCCTCGCTCACCCTCACACTGACTAACCCCCACAGGCTTCCTGATGACCAGTCGGAGTCTCCCCACAAAATGTCTCCCCAGTCGCCCAAAACTCCTCTGTCCCCAGTCAACCCCAGGGCCCCCCAGTTACAGCCAAATGTCAACCAATGTCTGACTTCCACCCCCAAGCTACCAAATCATTCGCCCCACAGTTCCACAGTCACTATTCTCTTTGGTTTCTAAGGCAAGCGCTACGCGACCCAGGACTGGAACTCAGTACCCTAAGATGGAGTCCCGGCTCTACCCACTGAGCCAGCCAGGCACCCAAGGACTCTTGTCATGATGGACACCCGGGCCTCCCCAACCACTCAATCAACCCCAGTTCCTCTCCCACCAGCCACCCTAACCCTGATTCCCCGGGGAGCCCTGGGGCTCTCCGCTTCCGCAGTCACTGAGGTAAAGGGACATCCCACACTCACTTCCTCACGAGCCTGTGGCTGGCGACACACACAGCACCTCCCCGACCCCCCGCCCCCGGCCTCCAAGCCACTCCCCGCTAAGGCTCAGTAACAGACTGAAGGAGAAGATCCTCCTCCGGGAATGTCCCCCGACTCGCAGCGCTCTAGCAGGCCCCAGCAATCCACAAGTCGGTCACCCGCGGACACTCAACCTCGCGGTCCCGCCAAGCAGCACAGTCCACTTGGCCGGCACCAACCCCACCAGGCACCCAGTTTCCTCGCCTCACGGCTGCCCGGGTCACTGCAGGCACCCGAGTCCAGACGGCGGACGTCCACACCCCGGCACCTGCGTGCCAGCCAGCCTGCGTGCCCCCCGCGCTCCCCCAGTGCAGACGCCCCCAACGCCGCCCTGAAGGCGCGCGACCACCCACCGCAACTGCACTCCCCGGAACACCCCTTCCACTGTCCCCTCTCCCGCCAGCCCTCAGCCCTAGGGCCCGGCTCCTAAACTGACCCAGTCCCCGACCCCCGCAGGCCCCTCAGCAGTCCTCCACACTCGCCGGCTTCCGCGGCCGCTCTCCACGCGGCAAGACCCGCGGCGCGCGGCCTCCGCCGCCCGCGCCCCGGAGTCCTCCGCCCCTTGGCATCTCCGATCCCAACGGACCGCCCCACACCGCACTGGCCCCGAACGCTGTCCCCACGGGGCCGCGGGGACACCGAGGCCCCCTCCCGCCCCGCCCCCTCCCGCTGGGGCGCGGACGCTGAGAGCCTCACCGCGGACCGCGGAAGAGGGCGCGCAGAACTCCATTTCCCAGGGTGCCTCTCGCCCCAGAACTACATCTCCCAGAGGGCTCTGTGGCGGGCCTCGCCGTCAGCCCCGTTGGCTTTTCGAGAGTCCGGGGGTGCGCGCCTCAAAACGAATGCTGGAGTTTCTTCCACCGGAAGCTCTCTCAGCGAGGCAAAAGCATAAGCCTTAAACCCACACTCGGGTACGGAACAAATCAGGGGCCTGTGGTAGGGGCGGAGGGCATTAAGACAGGAAGGAACGTGGGGCACCTGTCCAGCTCAGCGGGTGAGCCCGACCCCCTTGATCTCTGGGTTGTAAGTTTAGGCCTCATGTCCGGCGCAGAGATTACTTAAAAAGAAAAGGACAGGAGGGGCGCCTGGGTGGCTCAGTGGGTTAAAGCCTCTGCCTTTGGCTCAGGCCATGATCTCAGGGTTCTGGGATCAAGCCCCGCATGGGGCTCTCTGCTCAGCAGGGAGCCTGCTTCCCCCTCTCTCTCTCTGCCTGCCTCTTTGTGTACTTGTGATCTCTCTCTCTCTCTCAATAAATAAATAAAAAATCTTAAAAAAAAAAAAAAAAAGGAAAGGAATCCAAGGACAACTGCGTCTCCTGTGGGCAGAGCACCGGACAAGGGGGTTGGTCGGGGCCCCCATCTGCAGGGCCAGACGCTTCTCGTCTGTTTAGTGGGGATTCCGAGTGGGGGATATCCGATCCGGAATGCGTACACCCCACCTCCACTTTCCTTACAAGTTGTGCTGGGGTTAGAGCTAACTGCCCGTGTTCTACTCACTTAGGCTTCAAGGGATTAGGGGAGTCTCTAGTTTAGTCTGTAAGAAAGCAGGCCGCTTTTCTTCTGCACAGACCCCAGACCCCAGACCCCAGCCAGGTGGACCAAGGGCCAGGCAGACCACTGGCCGCCAAGTGAATCGGGAGGTGCTTTTCTCCGTACGTTTCAGGTGTATGTGGATGATAAGTGTGTTGGAAGCTGGCAGAGCTCAGACTTGGTTTGGGATACCCAGTGGAAGAGAAGCTAGAGTTCACAGTCACCAAGGATTACACTCACACATACTAATTCGTTGAACAGTTTACTCAGTAAACATAGAGGTACAGAGACTTTGTTTTCCAATACAGCACAGAGAAGTGTGGGCAATAGGTGTGAGCTAGCACAGCTCCCTGGGGCGCCCCTGCTCTCTAGGTGTACCAGTCAGTGGAGACCCGCACCAGCAGCGCACAGACAGAGAAGGGACAGCAGCCCCACCTTCTTCGTCAGCTGTCTGCCCCATCCTTGTATGTGAAGCACTGCTGGCCCAGATCTCAGGTGTCATCCCTCCCACATTCTGCTCTGTGCAAACACACACCAGAGAGAAGTATGTACACTCGCTCACCCACATAGGGCTGGCCTGTGATACCACGGTTTGGAGATACACCCACACTGCCAGCTGATGGCTACAGGGGTAGCAAGTCCATGGTTTACATGTCCCATTAACATGACCACTCTCTTCCATACACTAGCAGTTAATCTGCTTCCCCATCTTCTCGTGAAGTTGAGCTTGATGTGTTAATAAATTTTAATGAGAGGAATGAGAGCAAGGCTTTAAATGAGAACCTCAAACTACAAATGTCACTTTGTTTGCATTCTCCTCTCACCTTACCGGTGACCGCTTCTGTAGCTACACTCTCCTTGCTGGGCGTTTCTGATGACGTAGGTGTTGTAAAATACCTAAGCATAGTGATTTCGGTATTCAATACAGTTGGTGGTCCCTTGTTTACTTCATCTTTGTGTTCTAAAAGTAACAATCTCTATGAAGAGATGTCAAGTCTGCCTGGCTACAAGGAGCAACAGCTCATCTCAACTGCCCAGACCCCATGAAGGAAATAAACAATGACCAGACAGCATCACCAGATTCACACATGCGGGACCGTGTAACTTAGTTACCTGTCATGCTGTGAGCTGGTCATGAGATGTTACATGGCCTACTTCTCAGCTGCAGACACACATCACGAGATCAAGTCTTCTAAGCTGAGAGTGAGCGTGGCCTTTCCCTTCACTAAGTGACAAATACAGGGGGCCCGGGGAGAGCTGTGCGGGTGGAAACCATTTTGCTATCACACAGAGAGGACACAGTCCTGTTACAGAGAAGCCGTTACAGGTAACTGTCACAGTGCTATGTTCGAAACATGTCCACACCTTGAAACATTGATTTCATTGGCTAGAGAATTCCTTAATGACAGGACCAGAGAAATACACAAGTTTATTGGCACAGGCAAGATTGTGAATGGGGTCTTTCAGGGTTACACAAAACTGAAGACCTGCATGAAAAGTTCAAAATGCACACCGAAACGCAAGCGCACCCGGAGAGAAAATGCAGCTGTGTAGCCTGAGGGCAATTATTTCCCTTCAAAAGCCGCCCAGGTACCAAGAGGAGAGGGCCAGGTGAGAGAGGGTGAAGAAAGGTGAACTTCCTAAGAGATATCTGACAAGTGACAACGGACGGGGCTGCCGCGTCCAGGCTCGAAGGCAGCCCACTTCAACCTGACTCTGACTTCCCCAGACCGTCGTGCTGGTAATGGGCCCTGGTGTGGAGCCTTTAGAGACCCTCTGTGGCAATTCTTACTGGCACCTGGGTTACAGATTACATGAATTATACAGAGAAGTAGCAGAATATGGAATGAGGGTATGCCCAGCAGTGTTTCTAAAGGAGATACTGGGATCTGTGAGGCACCATTCCTTTCCACCTCACTCAGGACCTGGTTATCCTTTTTTCTTGTCCATACATATTGAACATAAACGCCAATGTGTTTCTGTAAATTGCTTGGCTAATCCAGAGGTAGCATAAGACTTCATAAGTGTTTTGGCTTCTATTGCTGAAGAAGGGTTAGTACTAAGTGCAAGACCATTGGACACGTAGCAGATGACAATCCGTGCAGCCATGGACATTTGCAGCAAAACAAAACACAAAACACAAAACACTTTGTTACTTGTTATAATTTCTGTGGAATAGTTTAAAAAAAGAGAGAGAAAACACTGACATTTCGTGTGGGGAATCTTGACAGATGTCAGTCTGTGCCCTGTGAGGCACACGCACCAGTAACTGGCACTCAAAATGCTGTCAAGTGCTCAACCTTAACACGGCACAGAAAACAACTGGTGCGCTCCAAATTTTAACTCAAGCCCATTTAACTGAGCGACTATTTACAGATAACGAGTTCAGAAGTAAGGACGCCCGCCAGGGATGGTGAGACACGTGAAGGGCAAGGAGAGGGAGGTGGGAGCGGAGAAGGGAGAGTCTACAGCCCCAAAGGAGGGCCACCCCGCAGGAGCCGGGCCATACAGCAACAGACTCTGCCAAAACCAAGGTCCAGGAAAGGGAGGCGGTGGGGGGAATGAATTGTCCAGCCTCTCTCCTCCCACGGGCGATCTAGCATCTCCCGCGTTCACACTTCAGTAGGAACCCTAGAGGGACAGCCCCTGGGGTGCAGAGCAGAGAGAGGAGGGTGGGCAAGCGCCGGCACACATGCCGGTCCATCACACGGGCCACTTGTGCGCAGCTGCTACGGATCCGAGTCACCCTGAGCCCTGGGGAAGCAGGCTTCGGACTCGGAGGAATAGTCAATTCAACTACTTTGGAAAGTTCATCCAAAGTGTTGTTTTTGTCATATACTTCTAAATAGATCATAACCCACAACACACTGTCACTATTTGGCTTTAAACAATGGATTACCCTTTTAAAACGAGAAAAAAAATCTATTATATTTACCACGTATTCGGCACTCCCAGAACTCTTCGTTTCTTCCTGTAGATGCACATTTCCAGCCAGCATTCCTTTCCTGCGGCCCCCAGACTTACTTAAATTTTCCTGGAGGAAAGCCTACAGCTAATAAATTCTCTAATTCTGTTCTCCTGAAAAAGCCTCTTTTTTTGCTTTCATTTTGGAGAGGTCTTCTTGATGGGTAACAGACAAATACCAGGGTGCGGGGGCTTTATTTTTCCCTCAGTAATCCAAAGTCGTCACTCACTGCATTGCCCCGCAGCCTGAGCAGCCTCTGCCCACGAGCCGTCGCACTCTGTTCTGTGAGCGCGCCCTGTCTCTCCCGAGGTGCTTTGTAACTGTTCTTCTTCCATCTGACTATGATGTCCGTCAGCAGGGTTTATGGTGTGTCTTGTTTGGGGTCCTTTGAACTCCTTGAATACGTGCAGTGACACTTTTCATCCCAAGGGTAACAATTTCAGCTGTCACTTACTCAGCTCCCTTGTTACTTCTCTTCCCCAGCCCCTCCTCTCCTGCTAGGACCCTGCTCCCACTACAATGGACCCCTCCTCTCTTTTCTCCCAGGCTTTTTACCTCTGTACATCAGTTGGACAGTTAGTTTTTTTTTTATTCTTACTTAAATTCATCGATTTCTCTTCTTCTGTGTCTTATCTGTTCTTAATTCCATCCAGAGTTGGGTTTTTTGGTTATTGGTGTGGTTTTTTTGTTTGTTTGTTCGGTTTTTGTTTTTAATTTTCAGATTACCACTGTTTTCATCCTGCGAAGTTCCACTTGGGGTTTTGAAAATACACCTTCCACTTCAGGTCTTGTCACATTCATGTTTTCCTCTATATTCACAAAAGCTAGTCAAACACCCTTATCCTATGCCAACTGCTTCAGTCTCTTCTATGTCTCTTCTACGGGCTCATTTTTGTCCTGGCTACAAGTCGTATTCTCATAGTTTCTTCGCGTGTCAGGAAGTTTCTGGATGCCAGACATCGTGGGTCCAGAGCAGCTCTGAATCTAGCGTTAGTTCCTTCACAAGATCATAGTCTTCTGGGAATCCTACCTGATGCCCCACGTGTTCAAAGTTGTTTCCACTCTAGCTGGCGGGAACTTTACTCCCAGCCTGGCACTGATTTCTGGGACCTGTTCAGCCTCCTGCTTTCCAGCACGACTTTTCCTTTCACACACATGCCAATCAGCGCTAAGCCAAAAGACTCAAGGGGACTCCTTGTAGGTTTCTGCAGCCCTCTCTCTAGAAAGCGCTCTCCTCTCCTCTCCCCATAAATTCTAGCTACTGTGGCCTCTCCAAAGGCCAAGTCAGCAGCTCTCTTCGACAAGACCGCATGTGCTCCCTTCCCCGAACGGCAGCCTGGGAGCGCGCCTCACTCTGTCCACCTTCTGCCGGGGATCACAGACACCTGCTTGCCATAGGTCTCTAAACCATTCTTTCACATACATTTTACAGTTTCTAGCTGCTGAAGGCCGGGGAGTCAATCTGGTTCTTGCCGTACCAACACAGCAGAAAGCAGAAGTTTTCATACTTAAAACACATCTACCATTTTAAAATAACCATTTTCATAATGACTTATATACAACAAACACAACGTTAGAGAATTCTTTCAATAGGATCACACTTATCAAAATTCTTCCCATTAGGACCTCTCGTCCACACGGACACCTCCAGTTGAGGTGATTCAGCATTTCCGCTGTGTATATACCCTCTAGCGTACTGCGAGTTATCCTTTCTTGATGAAACCTCTCGCTTGGTTTTTACAGCAGGCCAGTTTCCCCTCGAGTGGAGGTCCTCTAACAATGAGCCGTCACTTCTGGCTACAAGGTCTGCTACACGATACTGCTAAGACTTCCACGTTAAGTCATCAATGGGTGACAAGCTGTGTGTTCTGGGAGAAGTCTCCCTTACACCGTCTACTTAAACAAATTCCCTCTCTGAATTGGGTGAGACCTGCCTTCCCAGTGCACCGACGGGGTTGCTCCTGTGTGTGTGTCCTTGGACACCTCAAAAGGCGACATCAGACGCCAGATTTCCCACGTTCACGGCATCACGCTGTTTCTAGAGTACGTGAGTCCTCTGGTGAAGCATGAGCTGTGACTTCCTGCTGAAGGCGGTCCCACACTCACCGCACCCAGCGTATTTGTCTCCTGTGTGAATTCGCTGATGCCTCATAAGGTGAGACTTTCTAGTGAAAGACTTCCCACATTCACCACATTGATAGGGTCTCTCCCCTGTGTGAATTCTCTGATGGATAACGAGCTGTGCCTTCTCAAAGAAGGCTTTTGCACACTCACTGCACCCGTAGGTTTTCTCTCCTGTGTGATTTCTCTGATGCTTAATGAGCTGCACTTTCTGAACAAAGGCTTTCCCACATTCACTGCATTCATAAGGTTTTTCCCCTGTATGAATTCTCTGATGCCTAAGAAGCTGTGGCTTCCAGGCAAAAGCTTTCCTACACTCACTACATTCGAAGGGTTTCTCTCCAGTATGGGTTCTCTGGTGATGAATGAGGCTTGACTTCTCACTGAAGGTCTTCCCACACTCCGTGCACTCATAGGGCTTCTCCCCTGTGTGTGTCCTCTGGTGTGAAATCAGGCTGGACTTCTGGGTGAAGGCCTTCCCGCACTCACCGCATTCATACGGCTTCTCGCCAGTGTGAGTTCTCTGATGTGTTAGGAGCTGGGACTTCCCAAAGAAGGTTTTTCCACATTCGACACAGCCATAGGGTTTCTCCCCCAAGTGAGTCTTCTGATGGCGGAGTAGCTCTGACTTCTTAAAGAACGCCTCCTCACAGTCACCGCACTGATAGTTCTTCTCTCCTGTGTGCGTCAGTTGGTGCTTGACGAGCTGCGGTTTTCTGATGAAGGCTTCGCCACACTCGCCACACTCGTAGGGCTTCTCCCCCGTGTGGATCCTCTGATGCCTGATGAGCAGTGAGTTCCTGCTGAAGGCTTTTGTGCACTCGGTACAGGCATAAGGTTTCTTCCCTGTGTGAGTCCTCTGATGTGTAATCAGCTGTGACTTCCAGAAGAAGGCTTTCCCACAATCACTGCAGTTATAGGGCTTCTCCCCGGTGTGAGTTCTCTGGTGGGTAATGAGCTTTAACTTCTGGGAGAAGGCCTTCCCGCAGTCGCTGCAGCCGTAGGGCTTCTCCACCGTGTGGGTTCTCTGATGTCTCTTGAGCTGCGACTTCCTGCTGAAGGCCTTCCCGCAGTCGCTGCAGCCGTAGGGCTTCTCTCCCGTGTGCGTCCTCTGGTGTAAAATGAGCAGGGACTTCCTACTGAAAGCTTTCTGGCATTCTCCACACCCATATGGTTTTTCTCCTGAATGCGTCCTCTGATGAATAGTGAGCAAGGACTTCTGGGAGAAGGCTTTCCCGCAATCGCTGCAGCCGTAGGGCTTCTCTCCCGTGTGCGTCCGCTGGTGGACGATGAGCTGTGACTTCTTACTGAAAACGTTGCCGCAGTCCACGCACAAGTGGACTCCTGTGTGTGTTCTGCGGTTTGCACGGGGCCATGACCCTGTCCTGCTAGCCTTCCTACATTTACTGCAATCACAGTATGGCTCTCCACCATGGGTTCTATCAGCTTTGATATACAATAAATATTTCTTATTGAGCTCATCAGGTTTCTTTCTTCCACGGTTATTTTTTGGAATAAGAAACTCAAGAGGATGTTTCAAACTTTTTTCACCTGAGCCACATTTATGGGGTCTCATTGCTAAATGAACAAAGTTAATGCTTGAATGAAATATTTTCCTAAAAACATCATATTCATGGCCTCTCTCCACACTTCTAAGCTTGTCTTGATTATCCTGGTGCCACATTTTGAGACTGTTATCTAGCCAGACTTCTTCTAAAAAGGAAACAAATGAATCATACTGTGTAAATCTCCCAATGATTATACTCATTGAATAAAACTGAAATGAGCCTAGGATCCCAATTAAGACAAAACAAAACACAAAAACCCTCCCAAATAATATCTACTTACTGGACTTTAGAAATTCTGACAGACACCGTATGTTAACTAACTGGAATTTAAATAAAAGCCTAAAAAATGTTTAAACAGAAATGAAAACATTTAAAAGTTACAAGTGCTTAGAAACATGAATTTTTAAACGAGAAAAGATGAAATCCACTCAAGGAGCAGTGACCATGAGCAATTTATACTCAAACACTGGAGAGACTATTAATCACTAATGTGACTATCTACTGTATGTCCAGGGGGAAGACGAGGGAAGAGCATGGGTAAGCACGCCCGCGCCAGGGGCCTCCAGGTGCAGCAAACGCTAGGAACAGCCCACACACAGAAAAGGACTGGCACAAACTGCTGAGTGCTACGAAGGCAGAAATACTGAATACAGAGCAAATACAGGCTATCGAGCTGACATTCGAAAGACAAGAAACAGTAGGTTCCTGTATGATCGTCACAGCTGAAGAACATTCTGGTTCAAGGCTGTCTCCCGAAACACCCCGTCACTGACTTCCCCATAAAGGCTCCTTCTTGCTAGCCAGTTTTATTTGTCTTTTTTGACATTTTAACTCAGTCTGTAATCTATAATGAATCTATATGTAATCCTACCTGTGCAAATCATTCCAAACCACAAGAAGCCTGTGCATAACACATTAGGACAGACTCTTCAGTACTCAGTAAGTACAACTGTTTGTGGTTTCCACAACATGGTCATTTATCGGCTATTTTAAAGTGAAAGTCTGTTTACCTTACAATAATCTTTACTAGTAATTGTGAGCCAATATTCCCAGGAGGTACCCTGCAAGTCAAAAGATTTGGCAAGAACTCAAATATAAGGCAAATACTTCTTTTCTGCATGATTTTGTGTGTGTGCGCGCGCGTGTGGGGTGGAGACTTACCTAATTCTCAGACATATCAGAATTTCAGAAAAAGGACCAACTAGAGCTGCTGATACAGAGAATAAAAGGACTCAGTGTCTGGAGCTTAAGTGAGTAAGATATTAATACTATTCATTGAGATGAAAAAGACTGAGAAAAAGTTTGGAGATTAAAAGCAAGAGTCAGGGCGCCTGGGTGGCTCAGTGGGTTAAAGCCTCTGCTTTCGGCTCGGGTCATGATCCCAGAGTCCTGGGATCGAGCCCCGCACCAGGCTCTCTGCTCAGCAGGGAGCCTGCTTCCCTCTCTCTCTGCCTGCCTCTCTGCCTGATTATGATCTCTGCTTGTCAAATAAATAAATAAAATTTTTAAAAAAATAAAAATAAAAGAGTCATACGTAGACGTTTAAGTGTGAAGTCCCCTTGAAGTGTATAAAAAATGGTTTCATGAAATCTGAGTAAAAAAATGAAAATTTTAAATTAAAATCAAAACGAAAAATAAAAATCAATATACATACAAGTAAATAAATAACATAAAATAATATTCAAGTAGTTCAACTGTATCAAAAAATATTTAAGAATTTAAAAATCTTGGGGCACCTGGCTGGCTCAGCGTGTTAAGCCTCTGCCTTCGGTTCAGGTCATGATCTCAGGATCCTGGGATCGAGCCCCGCATCGGGCTCTCTGCTCAGTGGGGAAACTGCTTCTCCTTTTCTCTCTGCCTGCCTCTCTGCCTACTTGCGATTTTTCTCTCTGTCAAATAAATGAATAAAATCTTTAAAAAAAAAAAAAAAAGAATTACAAAATCTTGGTGCACTGGGGGACTCAGTTGATGGAACGTCCGACTCTTGGTTCCGGCTCAGAGCATGATCTCGGGGTCCTGGGAGCTGACCCTGTGTCAGGCTCTGTGCTCAGCAGGGAGTCTGCTTGGGATTCCGTTTCTCCCTCTCTCTTCCTCTCCTCTGCACCCCACCCCTGCTCTCTCTCCAAAAAATAAAAGAAAAGAAAAGAGAAAAAGGAAAGGAAAGGAAACAAAAATCTTGTCATTCTGGAAAGCGAGTGTGTCGCTTACAGGTATTACGCAGGGCCAGGCACGGGTGAACCCACTTCTTTCTGTCGCACTCTGGTCCACACTGCCTGCATTTCACTTTAGTTTTCAACTAATATTCCTTCTTCCAGCCTTGATCCCCCTCAATTCTAGTTTCCAGAGAGCCAGTGAGCTTTAGAAAACATGATCAGGCTTTTTACCCCCTTGCTTAAAAAAAAACCCTTTAAAGGGCGCCTGGGTGGCTCAGTGGGTTAAGCCTCTGCCTTCGGCTCAGGTCATGATCTCAGGGTCCTCGGATGGAGCCCCACATCGGGCTCTGCTCGGCGGAGAGCCTGCTTCTCCCTCCCTCTCTGCCTGCCTCTCTGCCTACTGTGATCTTTCTCTCTCTGTCAAATGAATAAAATCTTAAAAAAAAAAACCCAAAACCCCCTGATAAATGCAAGCTTTTACCAGGGCTCAAATGCACAAACCCACGCTGGTCTCTTCCAACTGCTCTGCCTTCCTCTCGCGCACTGTCGCTCGCTGCTGCGCAGCCACACTGAGCTCCTTCGCATCCCTCTGATCCCAAAGGCCTCTTCTGCTCCAGACCTGTGCAATGGCTGCTCCTTTTTTTTTTTTTTTTTAAGATTTTATTTATTTGACAGAGAGAGAGAGACAGTGAGAGGAAACACAAACCGGCAGAGTGGGAGAGGGAGAAGCAGGCTTCCCGCCAAGCAAAGAGCCCGTTGCAGGGCTCGATCCCAGGACCCTGAGATCATGACCCGAGCCGAAGGCAGAGGCTTAACGATGGAGTCCCCCAGGCGCCCCGACGGCACGGCCGCTCCTCCTTTTTGGCTCTTCCCAGCTTTCAACGGGGCTCATTCAAGTGTAAACATCATTTCAAGGGAGCGTAAGGATATACTGTTTATTTCCTTTCTAGCACTTATCAAACAGGCAATCAGCTTACTTCTGTGTCCCCCACTAGAATGCAGACCTGAGGGCAGGGAGGGGTCTGTATTTCAGTGACGTACCCAGCGCGTGCAGGGAGTGAGGCCTCAGTGCACAGAGAACACTGTGCACTCGCAACTACGCTTCTAACGCGCTTCCTTCCTGTACCATGAATCTTCATAAAGAGCTCTGCATTTTAATACAAACACTTTCTGTTCAAATACTGAGTGACGGAATAAATAGTTCTCCATTTCCTTCTGCATTGAAACCCTGCTCCCGCATGACCCTTCCACTCGGTTCCTTGCGTCCCACAGGACAGCGGTCATGCTAAACTAATGGGTGAACACAAAGGTCTACCGTCGCAGACAGTATTTTCTAAGGTGCACATGCCCGGACCAAATCATCCCTGTGAACGGTACCCAGACCTCGGTCATGTCAAGTATTTCCTAGGGTGAGCCGAGACACTGGGAGGTGAAGACCGATGCACTAACGGATATAAAGAAGAAAAGCCCCGCCTTACCTGGCCCCGCAACACTCCACTAATGAGATATTTAATAATCACACACCATAAGTGCTACGGGGAGAAGCGAAGAGCGAGTCACCTGCCATCTTAATACATGGGGGGAAAACTGTTACGACCTAATGGTTAAAAACTGGTGAAAAATTCCAGGTAACCCCTGACCAGGGCCAGGGCTCCTCGAATACAACACTGGTGGCCAGAGATCTCCGAGAGGCCGGGAGTCGCTCTCGCCAGGGGAAGAGAGGGCTCTGAGTAGTGGCACCGGGTCTCCGTGGTAAGGGTATGATAACCACAGGCTCACGTGCGGAGAAAAATGTATGAAACATGTGAAGACACTAGTTCTAAGGGAGGCAGCCCTGACTTCTGGGCACAGGAATCGAAAACAAAGAAGAATGGGTAAGACGTTACCATACCATGAGGTTCTTCCACAGAAGTGTCGTGAAAACATCAACCCAGCCCACGGGGTTAAACCCAGCAGACTCTTGGCGGGTCACTGAGGAGCCTGGGGAAGAGGGACATCGAGGCACCGCAACGCGCCCGGCAGCTGCCCGCGCGTACAATGGAGAGAGCGGGGCCTCCCCACCAGGCTCCCGGTGCTCGGTTTTTGCTCTATATGCACGGATTCCCCTTCTACTCCCTTTGGGTTCAAGACAGAAATCTGACAAACGAGAGGCAGGAAAGAACACTAACAGAGGACTCGGCAGGCGCCCTGCGACAGGACGTGAGGAGCCCTGAGGAGGAGGCAGAGGGCCCACCCCGCGGAGTGGGGGTGCAGGAGAGGAGGAAGGGAGCCGAGAAGGTTGAAAGAGGACCCTTGTCCCGGAAAGCAAGGTCCCACATGCCGGCCACCGGCTCGTGCGGCGGCGGGGGGGTGGGGGGCCGGGGGAACGTGCCGCCACCAGCTCCACGCAAGAGGACACAGCCCGCCGTGCAGTTCAGGACGGAGCGCTCGTTAAAACGCAGGAAGCACTCAGGTCCCCAGCCCGAGCCAACTCTAAAGACGCAGGAACTTCAAACAGTTTTTACAAATAACATTTCCAAATAACTCTTCAAAACATCATACACCAGCTCTCGTCAGAAAGCCGTGATGCAGCGGGCACCGAACGCCACGCACCCGGGTGCCCCTCACCTGCCGAGGTCCGATGCGGGGCTGCTTCTGTGACCCACGGCTCTTCCGGCTCTGGCTTGAAAACCGCATCAGGTCTGATAATTTGATAACCTGTCAGTTGGAAACACGGACAACTTGGACCCGACTCCTCGGGCTGACAGACTCTTCCACACAGAGGAGATTTACTATGGAGGCTATAAGACAAAGCGAGCAGCCCAAAATCTGTCAGATGGGCACAGAAATCAGAATCTTTGACATCGGAAACTTAACCCCCAAGTCAGTAAACCTGAGAGCCCCCCCAGTTACTGAATACACACGGTTTACACACGAACATGCTTACCCAAGAAAACCAGATTGCTGTAGTTCTCCAACATCACGTCTCTGTACAAGCTCTTTTGAGTAGGATTAAGGAGCTGCCACTCCTCCGAGGTGAAGTCCACAGCCACATCCTCAAACGAGATCTGGAAAACGTCATCACGGTTAGAGCTGCAGAGGGGCTCCTGGTGGGACACAGGCCTTCTTCTCCAGCGAGGGAGGCAGCCCCGCCCATCTCGAACTCCGCGTGTCCCATTTGGTGTCCTGCTCCCCTCCAGAACGGGTGCTGCCCTTACTGACTCACTCCTTCTGGGGAGCCCTGACTTGCTCTCTCTGGGGGTGGGGGGTTCCAGCTGCCTGTGGCAAGGCACCGAGGCTACCAACTCCCCACGTGACTGAGCCTGGAAGGGGCTCACTGCCCTACTGCACCCTGTAAGGGAACCAGATGTAAGCTCGGCTGGCAGACTTCTAACCCAGAGAAGCTGTGGGAGAAATTGTGCTATTAGCCACTGAGGTTTGGGTGACTGTTACACAGCAATTGGTAACGCATATGATATCCTAACCTTGCGCTATACTTTCAGAGAAACAATAATGTCATCGAGCCGTTTTTCATTTTGAATTCACTCATCTACCCACACACCGATCCATTAAGAAACTGGATAGGGGACGCCCGCATCAAGGCCCCTTGCTCGGCGGGGAGCCTGCTTCTCTCTCTGCCTGCCGCTCCCCTTGCCTGTGTTCTCACTCTCTCTGGGACGCCTGGGTGGCTCAGTGAGTTGAGTGTCTACCTTGGGCTCAGGTCATGATCCCAGGGTTGTAGGATCAAGTGCTGCATGGGGCTCCTTGCTCAGTGGGGAGCCTGCTTCTCTCTCTGCCTGCCCCTCCCCCTACAGTGCTTCCTCTCTCTGAAAAATAAATAAATAAAAATCTTAAAAAAAAAAAGAAAAGAAAAGAAATTGGAATACGTTGTGTTTAAATAAGCACAGTGCTTCCCAAAGAAGGTGCCACTGGTATGTGGGGACAATTCTTAGCCGAGTCCCATGCAGCGTCAGACCTCCAGCACACTTGGTGCCCACCTGCTAAGTGACAGTCCTGTTTTACGGCTACTGCCAACACCAATGTTGACAACATCCCCCCTCCAACACGCTCCTCCCTCCGCGTCCGCACCCACATGCTAACATCTAGCTGGTCCTCCCCGTATCTTCTGGAACACATACAGGGAGCAGCTGGAGCTCCCCAAACCGCAAACAGTGCCAAAATATGGAGACGGGTAGAATAAAAAGCATGCTTTTAAAACTTTCCAGTCTTTTTAGGCCAGGAAAGAAGGTGTTACAGAGGCCATAAAACAAGTATGCAGAGGGTTTTGGGACAAAAGGCAAAGGAGCTACAAGGTGAAACCAGTGTGGACAAAGAACGTTGTGGGACTCCCCCTACTTGACCTCACGACCTCCTATAAAGCCACAACAGTCAGGACAACCTACTGTTAGGCAAGTGATAAGTACACAGACAAGCCAACAGAACAGCCAGCTTAGAATTACACCCCCCAAGTACGCTCAACTAATTGTGACAAAAGGGTTCCACGAAGAAAGGAGTGTCTTTGAAAAACGATGCTAGAACAATGGCATACCCATAAGCAAAAGAATAAACCTCAACACAGACCTCATACCTTATATAAAAATTAATTCAAAATGGATCACAGGCCTAAAGGGAAAACATAAAAGTATAAAGCTCTAGGAAAAAACCTGCATGATGCCGGATTTGCCAGTAAATTTTTAGGTACAACACTGAACACATGGTCAACTTAAAAAAAAAAAATCAGGGGCACCTAGGTGGCTCAGTGGGTTAAAGCCTCTGCCTTCGGCTCAGGTCATGGTGTCAGGGTCCTGGGATTGAGCCCTGCATCGGGCTCTCTGCACAGCGGGGAGCCTGCTTCCTCCTCTCTCTCTCTGCCTGCCTCTCTGCCTACTTGGGATATCTCTGTCAAATAAATAAATAAACTCTTTTTAAAAAAATCAATGAAATGGGCTTTTTCAAAATCATTTTTCTCTTTTTTTTTTTTAAAGATTTTTTATTTATTTATTTGACAGACAAATCACAAGTAGGCAGAGAGGCAGGCAGAGAGAGAGAAGGGGAAGCAGGCTCCCTACCGAGCAGAGAGCCCGATGCGGGACTCGATCCCAGGACCCTGAGATCATGACCTGAGCCGAAAGCAGAGGCTTAACCCACTGAGCCACCCAGGTGTCCCTCAAAATCATTTTTCTATGTGAAAGACACTTTAAGAAAAAAAAAAGGCACAGACTACGAGAAATATTTGAAAATCACTGAGCTGACAGAACACCTGTATCCAGAATAAAGAATTCTTGACACTCAACAACAACAAAAAAATACAATTAAAAAATGGACATTTCTAGGGCACGTGGGTGGCTCAGTTGGTTGGGCGACTGCCTTCGGCTCAGGTCGTGGCCCTGGAGTCCCGGGACTGAGTCCCTCATCGGGCCTCCTGCACGGCAGAGGGTCTGCTTCTCCCTCTGACCTTCCCCTCTCATGCTCACTCACTCTCATTCTCTCTCTCAAATAAATAAATAAATAAAATCTTTCTAAAAAGTGGGCATTTCTTGGAGGGAAACATAAGCAAAAATAAGCTATTAGGATGTCATAAAAATAAAAAGCTTCTGCAAAGCGAAGGAGACAATCACCCAAACTAAAAGACAACCCAGGGAACGGGAGATGTTTGCGAGTGACAGAGCTGACAAAGGCTCCGTGTCTCAAATCTACAAACAGCTGACACACCACCCAGAAAACACATAATCTAATTTAAAAGTGAGCAGAAGACATGAACAGACATTTCTTCAAACACAACATGGCCAACAGACTCATGAGAGCATCTCGATATCCCTCATCATCAGGGAAATACAAATCAGAGCCACAGTGAGATCCCACCACACCAGTCAGCATGGCTAAGATGAACAAGTCAGGAATGACAGGTGTTGACGAGGACGGGAGAAAGGGGAGCCTCCTACACTGCTGGTGGGAACGCAAGCTGGTGCGGCCGCTCTGGAAACCAGTGTGGAGGTTCCTCAGGAAGTTGAAAATAGAGCTGCCCTACCAACCAGCAATCACCACTACTGGGTATTTACCCAAAGATACGAATCCGCAATTCGAAGGGACACATGAAGGCGAGACTCGGGGGATGTCTCTGGAGACCTGGACCTGTTCCAAGTCCTGACTGATGCTGATGACATGAATTTACAAACGTTCGGAAACTCAGGAGGAGTCAGGCTCCTGGCTAAATGCTGAGACGTTTCAGGCCCAACCACAGGCAAACCGAAGGCTTTACCTGACCGGCCTCCCAGGGGAAGCTGTGGCACCATCAGTGGGGACTAGTATTGGGTCCTCACTACTGAATGTGCTATTGGTGCTGACTTACCGCCCATGTACACCCTGGCCGGCCTTCGCCCCCAAGCCCAGACAGCAGCGGCCACAGCCAGGGCCGTGACAGTGAATATACGGAAGATTGAACCTCCCTCGTGGGGTCTAGCTCGTGCCTGAGGCGAGCCCCAGACTGGCAGTTAAAGGAACCCTCCTGCAGGATGACATGAGTAAGTTCTGCTCCTAATAAGCTTGATTTTTTTTTTTTTAAGATTTATTAAGGTAAGATTTTTTTAAAGACTTTTAAGATTTTTTTAAGATTTTTTAAGATTTTAAGATTTTTTAAGATCCCCCCCGAAGGCGCCCCAGCCAGCCAATTCTTAAACGTGATGCATCTTTCTGGTTAAGTTACGTAATATTTGTTCTTCTTGCATCTAATCTTTCCAGACAAAGGGTCTAGATGAAAACAGATGAACTTTTAAACGTTTTGATTACTAAATGGAACACGCTGATACTAACAACAGAAAAACAAAAGCAAAATAAACCTAGCACCGGGACGCCTGGGTGGCTCAGTGGGTTAAAGCCTCTGCCTTCGGCTCAGGTCATGATCTCAGGGTCCTGGAATCGAGCCCCACAACAGGCTCTCTGCTCAGCGGGGAGCCTGCTTCCCTTCCTCTCTCTGCCTGTCTCTCTGACTGCTTGTGATCTCTCTGTCAAATAAATAAAATCTTAAGCACCCAGGGAAGCATGGTGCTAGAGAAGGTCACGACGGCCTTTGCTTTTTGGACTTGCTCCTGAAAGCTTTCTCCTCCGACTGGAGAGAACATAAACCAAAAGAAACAACTCTCAGGGCTGCCTTTCAGAGACTCTCGAGTAGACCGATGGCTGAACCAACAAAGACGTGACCGGGAGACGGCGAGGATAGACCGCGCTCCTGCGCTCCGCAGGCCAAACATACCCAGATGCCGCCCACATCTAACGAAGTGTGGACTGATGACCTGCGGTCGTGGACAAAGTGATTTGGAAGGAAATGCCCCCAGCAGTCCCTCTAAAACCACATTACCCAGACGGACTAAAAACCGCAGGGCAGAAGTGCCCACACTGGGGGCCGTGTTAACCTAACTTGGACTAAAGCAGCCCCTGCTGGGGGTCCCCTCTATAACTTCTGTTTCCAGGAGAACCATGTGTCCTCTGGGATCACGCTGATGTGTGTGCCCCAACGATCGTGACACTCTGTTAAGTCAAAAAGTAAAAAGACCTAAAGGTAGATACCCCCATCCCTAGCTTTTACCAAAAGAAGCAAAAACACTTCTACCTAAACAGTATCAAAATTACAACTGAGTGAATATTTATGGGGCCATTTGAAGGTTATTTGTAATGATCAGTTCTGCCAGGTGACTTGGGTTTCTTTCCTAGCGCTAGAACATAGGTAAGACGGGTGGTCCAGGCCCACTGGTTCGGTCCTGTATCGAACTCTGAGTTCTGAATTTTACTTCAGATTCAAGCCCTTCGTTCACACTGAGGAACTCTGTAAGGAATAGCACTGGGAAGCTCATCGACCGCAGGGTTTATGCCTCCCAGGGCAACCGTTCAGGACTTTGTCCACTTATCATCCACATGAACAACGCTCCAGACGTCTTCGGTGTAAGGCATCTTCTGCAAACGTCGGCTTCTACTGAGTAGCTAGTCTGCCTTTTGTCCGAGGAAAGCACGTACCAGCACTACCCGTGCTTCCCTTCCTGTCTGCACTCCGGGACTGTCTGAGGACAGCCTGCGGCTCACCTCTGGCAACAAAGTACCTCGTTTCCTACAGATCCGTGCTTCCACTGAAGACTTTGTATGATTCCATAATCCACCTTGTTCTCTGACACCGTCATTCCCAAGCTTATGTTTCTGATTATGGTTTAAATGTATTTAAGAGCTTTCCTATAAGCCTTGTCACGCCTATGGAAGAAGACTGTTGGAGAACAAAGAACTCACCTGGGACTTGAACATTTTCTGCGGCTTGAAAAATCGGCTCTGTTCTGCGACTCCTCTCCGTCCCGCTGCTCTGGAGAGGCTTCCGGTCAAATGTCTGTAAACCGAGAGGACACCCCTAGTCCCGAAGCCTCCTCCTTCTTATTTCACAGGAGTTCTCTTGCTCCTCAGTCATGGCCTGGAGATGCAGTGGGAATTTTATCTTAGATGATGTCATTACTCTGGGTTCTCTCTTACTGGGAAATCAAACAACTTGAATCAGGGCTGCAGCGTAAGAATCAGATGCGAGAGGAGCTCCTAGCAAGCCTGCATCAGGCGGGGTCTGCACCAGCCTGCACTCTGCAGCCCCTGGCGCCTGCCCGCGAATGCCAGACTCCAAGCACTCGCCCCACCGGTGCAGCCAGACGTGCGTAGAGAAGGATCACCACACCAAGATGCTCTCCACAAACAGACCCCTGGCTCACTCATTGTGCAGCATTATTTACTGGGAGCAATGACATGAAGTTACTAGTACTGGTGCTATAGAGTAAAATGCAACTTTCTTTCCCTTTTTTTTTTTTTTTTGTTAAATAAAACTATTTTTTTTTTAAAGACTTTATTTATCTATTTGAGAGAAAGTGAGTTAGAGAGCACAAGCAGGGGGAGTGGCAGGCAGAGAGAGAAGCAGACTCCCCACCCAGCAGGGAGCCCAATGCAGGACTCGATCCCAGGACCTTGGGATCATGACTGAGCCAAAGGCAGAGGGTTAACCCACTGAGCCACCCAGGCACCCCTAAAGCTATTTCTTTTTTAAGATTTTCTTTGTTTATTTGGGGCACCCGGGTGGCTCAGTAGGTTAAGCCTCTGCCTTTGGCTCAGGTCATGACCCCAGGGTCCTGGGATCGAGTCCTGCGTTGGGTTCCCTGCTAGGTGGGGAGTCTGCTTCTCCCTCTCCCTCAGTCTTCTGCTCTGCCTGCTTGTGCTCTCTCTCAATCTCTCTTGTCAAATAAATAAATAAAATCTTAAAAAAAAAAAAGTAAGAAAAAAAGGTAATTCTCTCTCATGCAAGAAAGGGAGACTCCTGTGACTTCTATTCAAAAAAGTACTTCAGAAAACCCGTAATTGTACATTCTTTCTCTGCCCCTTGGAAAAGTGTGTAAATGTTATCTAAAGCTAATAGGCCTTGTCTAGTTAACCACCCAGTATGTCTTTCCTAAGGACCTGGGAGCTATCTCTTTGACGTCACCCAGGAGGATCGGCCCCTATTTCCCAATCTCACAAAGGACAGGACCCTATCCAAGTGCCTGACTTTGGCACTTGCCCCCCTACCCCTGCCCCGGGGTGTAAAACTACCTCTTACCACAAAGATATGAGAAGGCGATTTTTCCTTTGGACAAAGGCAAAAGGCTAACACAGTGGCCACCTCAAGTACTGGGAAAATGCAGTATGAACTGCATGTGACAAATTATCCTTTACCTTGAGAACGTGTGCGTAACGGGTGTGCTGGCCTGGCTCCAGAGAACAGTGAGATTCTCCCTGTCTCTGTGAACTCTTCAGTGCGCTGCCTGCAGAGCTCAGGGCAGTCTTGTTCCAGGTTTAATTTTTACGCAACAATAAAACTGTTTTTCTTTTTCTTCCACTTTTGTGAAGAGACTTTTGGGTTGGCTGATTTGGATTTTCATTATCTCCCCAAGAGGCCAAAGAACTGAGTACAACTGCTATTCTAAGAACTTTTTAAGAGACTGCAAGCTACGTAACGATATCTTAGGCAGACTTATTGGAAAAAATAAAACCAAGGTTTCAGCTAAGTATAATAAACCAAAAATACGGGACACCTGGGTGGCTCAGTCGGTTAAGCCGCTACCCTCGGCTCAGGTCATGATCCCAGTGTCCTGGGATCAAGTCCCTTGCTCCGCGGGGAGCCTGCTTCTCCCTCTGCCTCTGCCTGCCACTCTGCCTCCCTGTGCTCTCTCTCTCTCTCTCTCACTCTAACTAATAAATAAAATAAAATCTTTAAAAATAAATAAATAAATAAATAGGACATCTTGATGCATACACATACTTACACCGTGAATTCCTTCACTGCTCATGGACCAGGTCACTTACATGCAGCAGAGAGGAGACGAGAGCCAGGCACTTCAGAGACGTGAAATCGCACCGAGATGTTATTTCCTTCCTAACAACATACCTGAAAAGAAATGTCCAAACATCATAGCACCCAACTTGGGGACAAGAGGGACAAAGTCCACGTCTCCTAGCGATCCTGCCGATGGAGATTTGTCCAGTACTGGTCTGTACCTGGGGTCCGGGAACGGCCCCTGAGCACCGTGCCCGTGGGCTGACAGGCTAGCAAGGAAGACTGAACGTGGTGGACAGGGCAGTGGGCACCTTTCCAGAAAATAAGCTGAACAAAGAGAGTGTATAGCCCCTGTAGAAGATGGACAGCAAGAGCTCTTTGTCCAAAGGCACTGTTTCGTTCACGCACAGGGAGAGGGTCTCCAACGTCCCAGTGGATATAGAGAAAAGTCAGCCGCAAATGAAAATTATGCCTGGAGGTTAGCCAACTGCCGGGTTCTGCCCCAGGGCAGCTGACCAGAGCAGAGCCGGAAAACCAGCCCCTTCAAGGCAGTTACGACCCACCCCAAGTTGGGCCGAGGGCTAGAAAGAGATGAGACAAGGCTGCCCCCAACACCACATGCTCGAGAACCCTCCGCAGCTCAGGCAGCAAAGCGCCTGCCCCGTGCAGACCGTGCGAAGGAAGCAGAAGGCTGTGGGAAGACCATGCGCATCACGGCGCACTACACGCAGAGGGCTGGAGCCAGATGCAGCTACGATGCTTCCGGGATGGAGGAGGGCACGGGGACTGAGCCAGCCAGCAAGGGGGAGGACCATATGGCCTCGGGTCACCGAGAACACTTAAACAAGGAAATATTCCAGGAAAAGAAGCAGTCACACATCAACAATGTGACGTGCAGGGTGAGAAGAAACAAAGAACAAAAAAGAATACGTCATTCAACAGAAGTCACTAAGTGGAAGTGTTGCCTGAGCCAGTGTGCGACCAAAACTCACCGGGACCCCCCCCCAAACCCACAAATACAACTCACACAGGTCCTATCACCAAGGAGGGCCTCAATCACACATAAGCCCCCACAGAATGACTGGACCCCCTCCCTCCAAGCCCACGGACAGAACTTAAGCCCCCGGAGGCTCCCACTTACCCACACTGATCACCTGAGAATTCTCCAGCCCCTCCTTCACGGATCACTAAGAGCCCTCCCAAGTCTCCAGACCTCACAACCACCAAGCCCCACTGTCACTCACCCCACTTGCCCCTCATCCCACCAGGACTGACTGCTGACCTTACAGGCGGTCCCTCTAGGACCTTCACTTACACATGCACATCCCCAGTGACTCCTCTAGCAAAACCCCTATCATCAACCCCCAAGTGACACAGGAGTCATCCATCAATGAAATCCGAAGTCTCGCCACAGCCCCACCCCCAATCAGATATTCACAGGACCCTCCATTCCTGATCATTCTAGGCTCTTCCTCACTCAGCCCCAAGCACCAGCCAAGGTCAGCCCCTCATCACCAATTCCCACAAGTTTCTCAACACTGATGCCACGAAACCCATCACTGGACCCCCCACATTCCCACCCAATAATCTTGACAGTCTATTCTATTTGTCGACTAGAAGTGGAGTCAGTGAATCCTAAACACAGAATCCCAAGTCCTCCTTCCTACAGTTGCCCATCCACTCACCCTAAAAGTGCCCTAGTCACTGTTCTCACAGAGCCCCTCAGCCTTGCTAGCCCCCATCACTACATTCAAGGAATTCCCAATGCTTAATCATACACCGCCCCAACCATTCACTTCCATGATACCCTATTTTCTAATCTACCCCATGCTCACCCACCATTCACTAATACCCCTACAGTCCTCCTAATCATCACCCGAAAGGGCCACCAGCTCTATATAAACACCGATAGGCTGGTACCTCCAACTCCTACACCACTGTCTGCTCACTCACACCCCCAACAGGCCACCCAGCAGCGCGCACCTAGACCCGTTGTCAAGCCCACAGGTTCTGTCCTGACTGATCAGCTGGCCCTCCAGTCCGCTGGCCGCTGATGAGGCACAGGACGAGAGTTTGGAGGACTGGTATCTGGCCTTCTCATAAGCCAACAAGGGGGCATGTGTTACGGGGTCCTCTGCAGCGCGCTCTTCCCTGGAACACACGGGGGCGGGGGAGACTTCTCAACCTTCCTGTGCTCCAGAAGCCCAGAGCTCAGGTGAAATCCAACACTGTCAGGAACCAACATGCCTTCCAGGCAACGAAATCCTCGGTCCACCAACCCTGAGCCCTCTAAACACCCCCAAAGCAGGCTCCCCACAAAGGCCTTACCACTTGTCAACGCAAAGGCACCTCAAGCACCCTGTTCTTCCCGCAAAGCCGCCCTCAAGCCGCATCCCCGACGGCACACACCCTCTCCCCCAGTCCGGAGCGCAGCCCCTGGAGGCTCCCGCGCCCGCATCCCGGCCAACCCCTCCAGTCTAGGCCTCCCGTCCACAGCGCCTCCCAACAGAGTCACCCCAGAGGCCTCCCCCACCACTTAACGCCCTCCGCCGGCTTCACAACCACTGGCCCCAGCCCCAGCCCACACTGACTTATTACCACACACACCCCAGTGTTTGGGCCCTCCGGTGCCCCCTGCTCCAGACCTCCCTCGGTGTCCTCATCACAGTGCCCGCAGACGGCCCCCTACACCCGCCCCGTCCCTACGCACCCCAACCCCCTAAACGCTGTCCCCAGACCGCGCCGCCCCCACGCCCCGCCCCGCCCAGCAGGGAACCGGCGCCTGCGCCGCGGGACCGTCCCCCCCACCTACCCCCCGGTCCTCCTCGCACCCGGCTCCGGAGCCAGTTGGCGCGTGCTCCGGGGTTACCACGGGGCCCGCACGGACACCGAGGCCGCACCAGCCCCGCAGCCTCGCCGCCCCGCCCCCGCCGCACACACCCTTCGGCTCAGGCCCTCAGCGGCGGGATTCACGCGGCCGACGGCGGAAGGGCTCGGCCGAACTACATCTCCCAGAGGGCTCTGCGGCGGGCCTCTTCGGACGGCAGGTCGGCGGTTTCCGGGTGGCAGGCTCTCAGCGCGGCCCGGGGCTTCCTGCGTCGGGGCTCCCGGGCACGCGGGGTGCGCAGCCGGGATCGCGCGTGCGAGTGAGTGTAGGTGGGTCTGCAGGGGGAAGCTCTGTGTCCGGCCCATTCTCCATGCTGGGTCGAAGTCATGTGCGAATGGTTTCGGTAAGTTTTGGAACATCCAACCAACAGCACTGACAGACGGAATGAAAATAAACGAAGTGAGGCATTTGGGGAGAACATGTCGTTGTGGAAAGAGGAGGAAATCATGAGTCTAAAAGCAGAAGTTGGGGGACCGAATAGCAGAAAACAACGCGATGAGCCAGTTTTTAAAAACAAAATATAAACTCTTGCTAGCAGTTTTTATCCGACGGGGAGGAACCCCTCCCGGGAGGTCGCTCCGACGCACGCGCCTGCGGTCCTGCGCTCCAGGTACACCTTCTCCTCCAGACGCCGCTTCCCCGGCTCGCCGCGGCCTGCCCTGCGGGCTCCTGGCAGCGGCCGGAGTGGTTACCGACGGACAACTCGGGCTCGTCCAGCTGCTGGTGGTGGTCGAAGGCCCCGTCATTGCAGAACCCGAGAACCGCGCTGGCCGGAGGATTCTCGGCAGATGCCCGGGAGCGCAGACTGCGCAAGGTGGCCGGCGGCTTCCCCAGACCCGCAGAGCAAGGTCGCCTGTGCCGCGGGCCGTAGGGTGCGGTTCACGCCATGCCCGCTCCGGTTTCAGTTTCAATGGCTGATGGACGCTGCTGCATGGAAAACCCGATGCTCCGCAGCCAGTTTATCCTTAATATTGTTCTTTGTGGCTCCGTCTTAGGGACGAGTCCACACCTGGACGCAGTTTGCTCATGGTTTGACTTAAATGACAGTTTCCGGGCGCCGGGGCGGCTCAGTAGGTTAAGCATCTCCTTTGGCTCAGGTCCTGATCCCGGAGTCCCCAGATGCAGCCCCACGTGGGGCTCCCTGCTCGGTGGGGAGACGGCTTCTCCCTCTGCCCCTCACTCCACTCTCGTGCTCCCTCTCGCTCTCTCTCACATAAATAAATAAAATAAGATGGACACTTAAGTGTGTAGTCACTTTCCACCCGACTTACTTTGGTACTAATTTCTTGATGAGTTAGTAGATTTCCCGAGTGAATTGGATCAAACTGTTGAGTGTGTTTTAAAAGAGAAGGCTTTTTTCAAGTACGCAATTTTTTTTCCACGTTTTTATTCAAATAACAGCTGGTTTACATACAATGTAACATTAGTTTCAGGTGTAGACTCTCGTGCCTGGGGGCGCCTGGGTGGCTCAGTGGGTTAAAGCCTCTGCCTTCGGCTCAGGTCATGGTCCCAGGGTCCTGGGATGGAGCCCCATGTCGTGCTCTCTGCTCAGCAGGGAGCCTGCTTCCCCCTCTCTCTTTCTGCCTGCCTTTCTGCCTACTTGTGATCTCAGTCTGTCAGTCTGTCAAATAAATAAATAAAATCTTAAAAAAAAAAAAAGAATCTCGTGCCTGATCATTCACATCCAACACCCAGTGCTCATGCCAAGTGCCCCTCTCATTTAAGTAGACAATTTAGTTAATACCCCCGTAACTAGTTAATCACACTTCACAGTGGGAGTGGGACCTGTTCTCTCGGTTTATTTTGGGTAAAGTTGGATCTTGGTCTAGAAGTCTCTGATGTGTAATGAAATCTTAATGGTATCTAAAGACTTATTTAGGTTCATAGAGTGTGAATTCTTCAGTATGAATTCTCTGATGTTTAATATGGCTTGAGCAATAACTAAAATTCTTCCCACATTGCGTATAGTTAGAAGCTCTGTACTTAGCCTAAATATCCTGTCATTTGATAAGGGGTGAATGACACTTAAAGGCCTGTCAATATTCATTGCATTTAGAGAGGTTTTCTACTTTATGAGCTATCTCGTGTTGAATACTGTCTGTTCTGTACATATGGGAATTATCTTCGTAGAGCTTGGTTCCAGCTCGAATTTTCTGATACTGGGTTAGAAATCACTAAAGGTTTTTTCAGATCTAAAATGTTCATAAGGGGTGCCTGGGTGGCTCAGTGGTTGAAGCCTCTGCCTTCAGCTCCGGTCAT